CTGCAGTCCCTGTCGCGTCTCCCAGGGTGACTCAGAGGAGGAGGATATGCGCAGCTCCGTCCACTAGGGGCAGAGCCGGGGATCCAGTCCTCGTGGGAGCTTTTTAGGGCTTGATGTCCCCGTCAGATGTTACTTTCCCTGGCTCGGTCTCTTCTGGTCCCGGCATTGGGACCACTCCCTGCTCAGGGCGAGAGGGGCTCCAAAGGTGTTCAGCATCTCTGCAGGCTCAGCACTCGGCTCCTCACGTCCAGACATCCCACAAAGCATTCTGGACTTTGGAGTCACTTTGCATAACCCCCTCCCACCCTCTCAGGTGTCTTCCCTATGCTGGAAGGGCGCACTGCCTCAGGGAAGGGCCATTTCCCCACCCAGCCAGGCTTTTTACTAATACAAAAGAAGGAGATAAGCCTTAACGACCCGGTATTACAATAACAAAGCACTAAGAATCCTGGCAGCGCCTGAGACCTGGCTGCCCCCCTGCAACTCTTTCTCACAAAAAAAATATTAACCGATTTTTTGTTCATAACACTTACTGGGCCAGGAACACTGAGAGGACCTTTCATAGCTCCTATCCCTCTTTTCACCAAGAATTAGCAGGAAAAGAGATATGAGGAGTAAAAAGGCACTGCGTGTTTTGTACCTCTAACAGCTCATTTGGGTTTGCTTCTGGGTTTAGCTAGCGGCTCCTCACATCCTTTATTTTAACTGAGCCAATTCCAACTTCCACTATAATTACAATAAATTTCAAGAGATGGAAGTGTCAGCAAGCTGCCTGGGTAGAAGACAATGTATTCAAGGAGCATAGTTAGAAGTATTCCCTGCTAATGATTTTTGAGCACGGCTCCTTTTATTGACGTTCCTGCTGCAATTGCCTGAAAGCATCTCACCCCCAGGGCCTCGGTGAATATTCAGAAGAAGCCATTATGTTTAAAATCATGTCTCTCACACACTGAAAATTAGGGAAACCTGTTGGCACAAACATCCTGAGAGCATTAGCACATGGATCTCAAAGGCAAACACGGTGCCAGCTCGTTCCTGAAGTTGTAAGGCTGTTTTCCAAGGGTTTAGTGTGCTCAGGTTACAGGAGCAGGAGCAATCAGAGCCCTGTTTGTTGTCTTCCAGCCCCACACCGATAACCAGAAATCTCAATTTACTATAGCAGGTTTTTCCCTTTGCTGAGCTCTTCTGGAAAGAGCCCTTTGGCTGCTCAAACTCAAAGCCAGGGACTGGCATCAGGATCACAGGCTCCAGAGTGGGATCCTGCTCTTTGTGATTCACCCCAGAGAAGGGCAGGGACAGAATCTGGTGCAGTCTTTGATTCATTATTAGTGGGCCTGACTCAGGCTCCTCCAGACTGCCATGGACTGAAAGATGGAGACCTGGGGATTTTTAAAACTTCTAGGTTTTACAATTTGAAGAGACAGGGGAAAGTTTACAGCAAGCACTAATGGCAGTCAGAATGAAAACTGTCTCTGGTGCTCTTCTTGGGTTTGTGTTTCTGGTTCCTCCCTTTTCTCTTCCTCTCATCTGTTGATGACTGTGTTGTCATTTCCTGTAACTCTCCACAAAATCCATATGGCAATCCCTGAAACTGTAAAGGCAATGGCAGAAAACAAATCTAATAATAAGCAATAATAAAGATTTTAAAAATCCTTTTTTTTGAAAAAAATGTGCTGTTTTAGATCCTCATCTCTAAAAGCTTTCCTGAATATTGTTTTCTTTCCACCCAGGATTGAATTATCCTATTATGACTGAAAGGAGAAAGAACTGCAAGCAAACTTCCAGGCAGTGTCTTCATTTCTACAAATCCTACGGGACAACCAAGCCATTTGGCTATTTCATGGTGTGCCCATTTGATAAAAGTCCTGACTGGGATCCAGTTTATCCTCTTCACACTTCCACTGAGGGACCATGTCTGCCTCTAGAGGTCAATGAATTAATCAAGAATTTACCTTTTTTTTCTCATCCCAGCAAGTGTTTTCCTGCTGTTCTCTGAAGCCTGTGAGACTCTGTAGGGGTGGAAGGTGCTGTTTATGAAATATGTGCTATTCCTAAAGTCAGTGATTGTGACATTAGTTTGTAACTTTTGCTCATGACTGATTTTGAAGGAATCTCACTATGCCACTTGTCTGTGTTTGTTGTGTCTGCCCATTACCTCTTTATTTTACAGTGAGGCTAAAACGTCTTTGGAGTGGGGAACATCTTTGTGTCCTGCTTTTTCACAGCCTAGGGGAAAGAGATAGAAACTGTTTTTGCATTACACAAATGAAATCACCCACTGAGTTCCTGAGTAGCAAAAATGTTGGAAGCAAAAGCAAAGGAATATGCAACCAAAAAGGTTTTGAAAAACCTACTGAACAGAGACATGGTTATTAATCCCTAAAACACATTTATTTCTTTATTAAATTTATTTGCATAAAAATGGTTCCCCTCATTACTAAGTTGCCACATTTTTTTCCTTTATACTCAATATTTGAGAACATGACTTTTTCACCACAATTCACGCGGGATAGATTTAAGACCACAGTCAGAAGAATGAAGTGATCCAGAACAGAGTGGAGCAGCCAACACTGGACAGGCATTTCTAAAGCAAAGCCACCATAATTCTTCAGTCTCAGAAGTCTGAGGGTGGATCCAAGGTATTTTCAGTATTTTTGTTGTGTCACTGTGACCCTTGGCACTTGGATACAGTGGTTTGCTGCCTTTAGAGTATAATTTAGATACACTCCAGCACGACAGAAGCCCAGCCAGTGACCAGAATGAACGTGTGCTTCCCTGTCCTTGTCTCCTTCATGCTGAATCAAGCACCCCTGAAACAACTCACTAAATCAAGCCTGGTGCCAATCCCAGTTGAATACTCATTTTTGGCGGAGTTTTCAATGTTAAATTCACTGTTCCAGATCACTGTGCTGCTGTTTGAGAAGCCGTGCCAGCATAAGAGTTGGTGGGGAAGTCTAAGCAGTGCAAAGAGCCAGGGCAGAATGCATTTATGTTAAACAGTAGCAGGAGTTAAAATGCTGGACCCAATTCCTACATTAATTTCTCAAGATTCAGCTTCTGCTAAATTATTTATATCTTTTTTTCCCCTTCTTCCTAAAGAACATTTTACAAACTACAGCTCAAACTTCTTGCCTGTCTAATGGAAGGTAAGTTTCTCAGAACTCAGATTAGCCCTCTGAGACTTTTCCAGTAAGTGAAGATGCTCTTTTAAGCTGGGGACACAGAGCATGAAATTCCATATAAAGCTGGATACTGAGTCCTGGAGACACCATTTCCTCAAAGATCTTCCTGTGCTGGAGATGGAAAAGTATTTAATCCATTTTCCCATTTAGAAATCTTCTACCTGTGCATCCAACCACAATTTGTCATTGCAGCCATAGGAAAAAGTTGGGACCTGAAAGTTCTTTTCAGTCTCATTAGTCCACATCTTTTAAAGCATCACCTAATCATTTGTTCCTTAAAAATTTGTTTTAAAGCATTTACTTGCATTAAAAGAGCTCACTAAAAGAGTATAGGAATAGAAAGTCATCCTGACACCTTCCCACAGACAATTGGAGGAGTTGTTCACCCTGGTTGAGCTGTCACTGTATTTCCAAGATAGGAGATAACCAGGTGGCCTCACACATCCATTTGAGGAACTTCTTCCATCACAGCTTAACAAAAGGCAGCAGCTTTGAAGGGGAGCCAGGCCAAGCCTAACTCAGCTGCTCTCTCCTGCCATCCTTCTTCTACTGAAAACTGCAAATCCTAGAAGCATTTTCTTTGGATATCCCATTAATGCCCCTGGACCACTTTCTGGCTGGGAACATGTTAGATGCCAACCAACATATAGGAATTGCAGTTTCACATTCACAATTCAGTGGCTGCAGTGAGCCAGAGATTCAGTTGAGTTTATTAGTTAGTTTATTATTTCTCCTGACTGCCCAGACATCACAAGGAGGACATACCTCTCATGTTTTTCTTTTATTCCTGGCTTAACATCTCATTTTAATTCCAAGTTTTGTGTTCAACTACTACAAAAATCGTAACTCACCTTGAATTATCTGGCCTGCATAGTTGTGAGCCCTCATTCCCCAGGTATTTTCAGCACAGAAAATTGGCAGATAAAGATGGTGGCAAGTCACAGAGTGACTGATTTTTATAAATATAGCTACTGCTGCTGTGACAAGCCTGGGCAGAACTTCAACCCTGGCAATGTCTGTGTTCTCTTCAGCAAGAAACATTCAAGAACAAATTCCAAAAGAATCTCTGGCTTGTAGGCTTTATCTTACTAAGAGAACAATCAGGAAACAAGCAATCCAAAACAAGTTTCATGTTTTCTGATATTGTTGAGATGCAGAAGAATACTTATATATTTTTAAGCCCTCATCTGCTCTGTCTTTGGCTGTCTTCATCATGTACATAGCAGAAAGAATTAGAGGCAAATAAAAGCTCACCTCTTTCTATACTAAAAGCTCTTCATTCTTCTTTTCTCATCTCCCACCAACACCAGCATGTTTTAAGGCTGAGTTCTGCTGTTTCTACCCACCTTCTGTTTTTCAGACATCCTGTATTTTTACCAGCTCCTGAGGCTTTAAGGAAAGTCTCACCATTGTTTTTTTTAAGTCCCAGGGTCTAAGATCAATTGACCACCTTTAACAAAAAAAAAAAAAAAAAATCAAGCAACCAAAGATGTGGACTATCACTGAACATCCTAATTCTTACTGTAAAAATAATTTATAAAACAATTTTTATTGCATTTTAATCTTATTAATAATATTTACAGCATGCTAGAATCTCTGCCAAATTGTCATAATATCTTCTGAAATCCCATGAAATAGGTTTTTCTCCCTAAAATTTTTAAGGGGGACTAAGATGAGACTGCATATACTTGGTTTATTCTATATTTTGCAAAAACCCAAAATTCAATCTTTAAAAGATGACCAAGATCTTAAAAAGTGACCAAAGGTGAAAAGGTAAAAAAGGCAATGCAAAAAATATAGGGATGAGCTGATCCTTTATTTACCAAGAAACTGTGAAAAAACAAACAGAAGTCTGAAGAAACCAAGGGACAGCAGCATCAGATGCTGCCTTCTGAAGAATTCAATGAATATCTCGGAATGAGCTGTAGGACATGGAAGAAGAATCAGTGCAAAGTGAAAAGTTGCATTTATTGTACCTTTTATGCACTACATGGCTTAGTTAGTAGCCTTGCAAGTGGACAACTAAAAAGATAGATCATATAATATAAGAAAAATTAGATTGAAGGACATTACAGATCATCCAGTCCTTGTGTGTGAATGAAGGATTAATTCATCTGAAAAAACATCCTTGGCAGGTGTTTGCCTAATGCATTATTAAAAATTTCAGTGACAGAGATTCCCATCTTGGTAAACAATATTCTTCAGTGTTTGTTGTCCTTTAAAGTTTTTCTCCTTTTCTGACTTGAATGTCTCTTGCTAAACTTACACTAATTATTTTTTGTTCTGCCAACAGTAGATATGAAGAACATTTAATCTTCTTTTTCTGAAACAAACTTGCCACAGCTGTGAATGCAAGGGCAGTATTCTCAGGAGCAAAAAGCCCCAGACACAGTATTTTCTAGGTTCCTCTTTTCCTCTTGATCCCTCCACCCAGTCCACATCCAGATTTTTTCTGCATGGTCCACGTGTCTTGAAAAGTTATACTCCATGCTGGGCTCAGAATATCTGAGGCCCTTCTAGTGCTGAGCAGAGTAGAAGGTGATTTTCTCTGAGCCATTTGTTTGAGCATCTCAGAAATGACAGAGCTGTTCACGCAGTATCACCTTATTTTTATTTGGTGGATTCCTAATGCTTCCACACCCTCTTCTGAAGACTTCTATCTAAGCACTCAGTCTAAAACATCTTCCTGGGTATCTGTGCTTTGACATTCAGTCATCATCCACCTGGATGATGTCTCCCAAGGCCATCCTTCGAATCGACTGCCTCCTCACAAGAGAGGCTTCATCCATTTCTCTTTGCTTTGCTCCTCGTTCCTTCTGCTTTTTGGACACGTTTTCAATGAGCTTGCTGGCGTCACTGAGGGTTTTCTGCGTCCTCTGCCCTGCAGTTTTCTTTGTGCCTTCTCCCACACTTGGATCTGTGGCCTTTAAGGGTTTGGCTTTCCCGGTGTCCTCCTGCTGCTCTTTTGTGTGTCTCACTCTGAAGCGGCGCCGAGCAGCGTTTTGGCAGGGCTCAGGGGTGCTCTCAGGGCTCTGGGGCTCTCCATGCATGTCAGACACCTGCAGAATGGGGATTAATGGCTTACTGAGTGTCTTGGGAGCCTCCTCAGCATCTGCCTGCTTAGTCAGCTTAGGGGGTGTCTCTGAAGGCAGAATGATTTGGATTTCTCCAAGGGGTTTGCTGTTTTTAGGGGGTAGGGGATCATCTTTGTTCTCCAGAGTAGCCTTCTCATTCAGCTTTATCTTCTGGAGGTTTCCCAGCTCCCCCTGAGCCAGATTCTTGACCCGTTTCACATGGAGCTCATTCTGCATGGAGTTGATCACCATCAGCTTCTGGGCAGCCATTTGGGCTTCTCTCTGGAGGCTCATGATCTTTTGGAGCTGGGCTTCTTTTACTTCCACAGGGATCTCCAGAGGGGCCAGCTTCACTGGTCTCTTCAGGGTCATGTTCTCTGTGCTACACAACTCATTTGCACAATGCAGGCTGGGAGACAAAGCCCCCTCCTTTTTCACCTTTTCTGGACACAACTTTTTCTCTCCCTGGCATAGCTTCTCTGAAATCCTTGGAGATGGAGGCTGGAAACCGAGGTTTCTATGATCACTTCCTGGCTTCCCTCCTGGTAGGAGGAGAACTGGATTTTTCTCAGGCTGCAGGTTCACAATTGTGACTTCACTGACAGTGCAGTTATACTTGGGCTTTTCTTCAGCCATTGGGGCACTCTGAAAGAAAACAAATAGATGTGGAGATCACCCTCCTACATTGTGTTAATCCCCAGTTACGTTTTTATGCAATGTTTAGAAGTTTGAAAAGAGTGTGAGACTTGGTGTTTCTTGAAGTGTACTCCTGTTAACCTTAAATCCTAATTACTGTGCTCCTTAAACTGCCTCATCCCAGAGTAATCCAAAATAAAGGGCAAATTTAGTCTCCATATCTAGAGAATAAATTAACTTGGCAGCTGAGGAATGAGCGCTTGTCTCCTCCATGTCTGTCAAACATTTCCATCCCTCTGCCTACTCTGTCCCAAATATTGACTCCTTTCTAAGCAGTGAGCAGGCCCAGACTGTACACTGCACTCACTAATTTAAAGGAAGTTTAGGGCATCTACAAAACATGGAAAATACCAGAGGATAAATGTTAGTTTGGGGAAGCTGCTAGTTGAGGTTCAGGCATGGGTCCTTCTCTTTTCTTCTGACATTCTGTGATCTAGACTTTTGCATATACCATGTACTTTATGTATATGCTATATACGTAAAGTATACATATATGTATATGCATGTATATATGTATATACATGTACTACATGTATATGCATGTACTTTAAAGGGTAGAGAAAGTTCTTTAGTTTCCACCAAAATTCTGCCTACTTTCACAAGGTACTTTTCCATAAAGGAGAGACCAACAAGCTAATAATTATTTTACTTGCGTCAATGGAAAAATACCCTGAAATTAAACAAGATGTTGTTCAGAATACTGTGGATATGGTTAAATTTCAAAACCAGTGTGTCTGGGGTATTAACTAAAGACACTGCTAAATGGCAGATGTGGCAAACCAGGAGTTATTTACTTCCCTTGTTCAGAGAAATTCTATGTCATGGCTGGGAAATAATATAAGAATCAATAACCAGTGATCATTATGGTCAATAATATAAGAATCTCATGGTACACAGGTCTTTGCCATTCAACTTTCTAGTCCTGCATGGGCAGTGACAGGTTCATGGGCAGCATCAGGAGAGGGGTCTGCTCTTGCTTCTGACCAAACAAGGAAGTCCTCTTCCCTAAGGTAAGTTTTTCATTCCCACTTTGGTCTTTGTACACACTGTAGGTATTATGGGGAAGACAAAAACAATATTCTTGGCTATATCTCAGTATATCAGACTTCTAGCCCTTATTTTCACAAAGATATGTTATTAAATTATAGCATTAACCTGGTTTTCCTCTGGCAAATAAAGAACATGAGCTCCTTTCATCTCATCTAATTAAGTCTGTTTTGCTAATTCCTGTTCACTGTTATTGGTGGGATTTTTTTTTAAGTGCCCAAGCTTAGTATCATTGTAAATAAAAATTATACTTATCCTGCCCTTTCAGTTTCTTTCTGTTTTCCAGGAAAACAACTTAAGGCTGCCCATGGCTCTGTAAATGTGAAGTGAAATAAAATAAACATAAATAAGCCCATGTACTGAAATGTAGGCACATAAAGCAATGGGGCATGAGAATGAAAGCTCTAATGCAAATGGAGATATGGGAATGGAAAGGAAGAAAAGGCAAATAATGTAGTATCAATGCATTATCATTTTGGAAAAGATTTTAGTTAAAAAGTCTTTTACTTGCCTTTAAAAATCTAGCACTTATCTACAACCCAGACACCTAGCCAAGCCTAGAGAGTAGCCTCCCTAGGAATGTATCTTTCTGCCCAGGAGCATTTTTTGTTCTCATGTTGGTTTCAGACAATCGTGACCAAGTGATTGGTTCATTCTCTGCTGCACTCTTCTGAGGACAATTCAGACATGTTAAGAAGGCTTGGAGAAATCTTATACACTACCTAAATCTGATTGGAATCCCAATGTTAATGCACTTAAACCCCATCCAAGGCTAATGTGCAAGATAAGCTGCATCCTCTGTTCCCATGCACACATTACTCAGTACCTTCCAGAAATATCCATCAGCTATGTATATACTCCCACTTAAAATTTAATTCAATAATTGGCCCAGTCTTGTGTGGGTAATTGCTCTGTGCCCAAAATTCCCTTTGCAGTCAATGAGAGAGCCATGTAAAGAATGACTGCTTCAGGTCCTCTGGATCAAAGTATTATGATAGTGATATTATCAAAGGGACCACCATCCTTTATTTAGAAACCACAACCTTCATGTAATTTAAACACTTTCCTTCCTGGTCTCAACTTGCTGATTCTTCTGAAATAAACTGCACAGTAATGGGACAGCAGAAATAGAAGTGTCACAGTACATTACCATTTAACTACATTTACAATATGCCCAGTGGCAAATTGGCATGGAGTGGTTTCAGATCCAGGAAACTTGGTGTCCCCTTTAAACAGGAATCTGATGTCCCTCTAAAGCCATCTTAGTACCCAGACTTAGGTCCCTAGAGACAGGTGCCTCTACTATTTGTAACTCTTTTTGATTTCAGGAGCTGCTCATTGCAGGACAATAAACACTTCTGTATTGTTGGCTAAAAGTGAGATTTGGAAGAGTCTTACAGAAACCTTGCACATCACCTTGATGACTGCATGAGGGAAGAGAAGGGATTGAGCTGAGCTTCCTTTCCAGTGTTGGTCCTCACCTGTGCTGTTCTACATCTGATGAAATCAGACAGACACAAAGCAGCCTCCGGCACCCTGAGGTGTCCTATTGGCAGGCGCCTGGCAAAAATGGGGAGCCAAAGGGAGCCAAGCACATGGCATGAGTTTAGATAACCTGACAACCAGCTGGACTTCAGCCAGGAAGTCAATCTGTCAGCAGGGAAAAGAAGCAGGTTGTTGTGCTGTCACAGAGCTCTGCAGGGCTTGAGCTCCAAACCACTGTTTTATGCACGTCACTTCCCCATATGGCTCCAAAATACTTCACCAGTTCAGACCTGTCATGGATATACCTGCCAGGAGGTGATATTTGGTTGGTAGCATGCATGTTTATAGACACACCATGATTGAAGGGAATCCTTTAAAAATCTGAAAGTGTTCAAGGTCAGGTTGGATGGAGCTTTGAGAAATCTGGTCTAGCAAAGTTGTCCTTAGCCATGACAGGGGCGTTGGAATAATCTTATCTCGAAGGTCACTTCCAACACAGACCATTCTATGAATCTGTGATCTATGATCTTTGCTTCCTTCAAAATCCCTATTTTCTCAGTCACATGAGGTTTCCTCTCCTTGCTCAATGAAACCAAATTTGTAGTGCATTTCATAAGAGATTAAAAAAATGAAAGCAAGCACGTGCACAGGCACACACACAAAACCACCACTCTAAATCCCAAACTCTTCCTACATAACAAAAAGCTTTAATCTCATTGCTACAGGATAATCTGTAGTGATAAGCAGATGTTACACAACTCTGATGCTTTTCCTTCCCATCATCACGTGTATCAACTGATTGCTGCAGTTCAAAGGGGAGGACAGAAATACCAAAGAATGGAAGTTCACAGATCAAATCCTCCAGCTTATCTGGCTGAAAGCTTCTCCCAGAGTGGATTTTATTTTAGTTCAGTTCCAAAATAAACACCAAGCCTTCAGTGTGCTTTAATTCTCCATGTGATGCCTGAAGGTCTGCCACTGAAAACCCCTCTGGTATGTGGAGATCCATTACACATGCTGTCATTCATCAGGGGAGAGAAACAATTCAGTTTAAACATCCAGGGATGAATGGCTTTGCTTCCACTGCAGATTGTGTATGTACAGTAAATAGCTCAGGTCATCATGAATGAACAATGAGGAAAACAGAGCCAACACCTGAATAATTCCCAGAAAAGCCTTAAATATGCAGCCTTGCACTTTGTCAGATGGCATCATTATCACACCTGCAATGTCAGGGACTTAAATCATCATTTGTTGTGCTAGAAAAATTTAAGAATGTTATATTGTCTGTGAGGCAGTGAGTCTGAGGTCAGAGGGTCCATTGGGCTGAGAAAGATAAAACACAACCATGTTCAAAATCATCAGTACTGAGCACAGTGCTAACATCACACCTGGCTGTCTTGGATCCCAAAACAAACAGGCACCAAGGTGGACTGACTACAGGGACTTCATACAAATAAATTCTTGCTGTGTTTCCTCAGTGCAGGATCCAGAGATGGTGTCTCATTCTGCCACAACTCCCTTTGCACCACTGGTATCTTAAAACAGCAGTGGCAACAAGAAGAATTCCAAAACAAAGCAAAGAAAAGATATTTGAGCACTCTGAAAAACAGCTCATTATGAGGGAACTGGTTTCAAATCCCTTTTCCACCACAAGCTGCTCATGAGATGGAAGGGAAGATGGTTTTTTCCCTCTGTGACTGCGTTTTTCATCTGTAAATTTGTACTGACTCCCTCTCCTGAACCATAGGGCACTAGAAAGCATAAGCTACTCAGCAGCAGGAGAAATGAAATTACATTAGTTTGCAAAACAGGTTCAATTCCAGGTAACATAATTTTCAGAAAACAAGTGCTCTATAAAAGGTGGTACCTGTTGAATAATCAAAGCCTGAAAAAATATCTATGATTACTTGAAAATTATGTCAAGTACAAATTTTGTTTGTAGAGAAGTTGTTCTTACATTTTGAGTTTCATTTTGCAGGGGAGTGAAGGTGAAAACATGGTGAAGCATGTTGTGAAAACATTTCAAATTTGTTCATTAAATTTGGTGGATCTTAAGAGTAATTACCCAATTTTATACAATGTGGCACACTCTTACTCCTAATGTTGTTATTACTTTAATAGCTCCTCCCTGAATTCATGAGGAGACCAGTTTGCATTCTAGGAAACCCACAGCAGATTATTCCTTGCAGGCACACTCAATTTCCAAACCATGGAGTCTCCAGATTTCCCAAATGCCTCCCAAGCTTTCCTGAGCAACCTCAGTCTTGGGAAGTTTCTTATTGGGATTTGCAATATTGCAGCAAAGAAGGGGAAGTGCAGAACTCCAGCCCGGATGACAAGGCATGTAAACTAACTTTTCCAACTTCCACCTCTAAACAGGGACATTGTTCCTTATTTAGATCATGACAAAAATTTATAAAAAATGAGTAACTAATATTAGACTTCTAAATGCACATTTATGATATAAATAAATGACCTGTTTTTCAGTTCCTGTACCTCAAAATTCCAGCTTGAGCCTGAAAAATCTTGCTGTCACTTGTTAGGATAAGGAGATTGATTTCCCAAAGTTCTGAGCACCTGTGAATCCCCACCATCTCAACAAGACTGTGTGAGAAGTAAGGGCCTGTACATGCAGCTGGACCAGGGGTATGTGTCTGACATCACAGCACAAGGCTAAAGCTTCTCACTGCTGTGAGGGAAGGGAGGCAGAGATGAAAAATGCAATATTTCCTGCCAACTACCAGCTCCTGCTCACGTTACATGCCCACAAAGATCACAGCACGAGCAGAACCTGCAGACAAGAGATTGAGCTCTTCCCTTGCTGTTTTTTTTCTTAATTTAGAGCTTGGCACTGTAAAATCCAGAGTGATGGAGCTATCTGCTATGGTGGGAGCTCATGCCTAGGAATTGATGTGGTGCCCTGCCCTGTCCCAGTGATAACAGAGGCCA